CCCATCACCGTGGGAGCATATTCCCTATAATTAACTCTTCATATACATATTTTTCCTATTGGTTCGGTTTCTCCAGGGAACCTTGACTAATACAGGTGTGTATTTGACCCTGTGGCAGTTTACTTCTTCAACCCTCAAGCCTGCACATGAGGACCTAATTCAGGAAGATCCATGTGAGGACTCAACAGGAAGATGCAAAATCTCACCACTTCCTCTCACCTGCAACGTGACCTCACGTGATATCTCCCAGAGTTGATGGAATGTAGGTGTTTCAAGGGCTGCTACAGAGAAACTGGAGTAAAAGCCTAGGATGTCAGCATGCTGAGCGTGGAAGAGCATGGGGACCATCCACACAGTGAACGGGGTCTGTCTTTTAAAGGGAAATGAACGGGGGCGCCTGGGTGGCTCAGTTGGTTAAGCGACTGCCTTTGGCTCAGGTCACGATCCTGGAGGCCCCCGATCGAGTCCCGCATTGGGCTCCCTACTCATTGGGGGGTCTGATTCTCCCTCTGACCCTCTTCCCTCTCGTGTTCTCTATCTCTCATTCTCGCTCTCTCAAATAAATAAATAAAAAATCTTTAAAAAAATAAATAAAAATAAAGGGAAATGAATGAAGCAAAGACCAAGTTAAAGGCAATTGTTATTGCCTTTCCTTGGGCTGGAATTAGAAGTATCTGCCTTATTCCTCTCTGGCTTTAGGGTGTCTCTGAGGTGCAGAGAGGCTGGGGACACTTTTGTTTTGTGAAGCTCTCAGCATCTGAAGAAAAGACAGATGCCAAAGTAGGGTTACAGAATTTCTGGGATATTTTAGAGTGGGAAGAGATAAATGTTGGCTGGGCCCCCACACCAGCCTGGAGGATGCTGAGTCCTATTGCCTGCCTGCACCTGGAGCTTCAGGTGCCCCAATCCCTGATGCGTCCCCAGGGGCACAAGGTTATCTCTAGGAAACTGGGAGAGGCCCTTGGGCTGTGTACCCAGGGCTCTTGGAACTGCTGAGAGGAAGAGTACGAGCACTACAGGGACAAAAATGTTATGGTGTATTTAAAATGTGTAAACTCCATGAGTCAACTTTTTATATGCAAATGGTCATAAGACATAATCAATTGGGCTATAAAAATGATTCCTGAATTAAAATATTAATTTACTTGTGGTTTGGTAGGAATAAAACACACATATATAAATAGTAGGATAAACATTTACATCAGTGCAGCCCTGTGATTGTACAGAGAATTCAACTTAGAGATAATATAAAGACTGCTTTTGAGGCTGGTCGGGGGATGAGAGGCCAGAGTCAACGGGTAAACTTCTTTCCCTGCACTGCAGGTTAGACCCTCTCAATCCAACCTCCTGCCATTTCCGCCCATCTCTCTTCGTCCTGGGACCTCTGTGTCCTTGTTTCTCATCCCCTCAGCCACCTTTCCTTAGACCTCGCTGGCCCTGATCATAGTTAGTCTTGAAAGAGCTGCTTCCCTCACTCATGAGCAATAAGAGGAAGCATTGTCAGTTGTCACCACACCAAGTTGCCAGCCAGCTGACCATGTTCAGTAGGGGGCACTGGGTCTCTCTACCACTTCCAGGGGTAAGAAATCCAGAAGAGCCATGTGGTTGCTGCTTCTCAATAAAGCCATAGCCCTGGACTAGTGTCAGATGTGTCTTTTCTCCCTGGTTGTATCCCCTCTTTCGGGCACAGGTGGTTAGGGCCCCGACTTATTCTAATCTGAACTACCTTTATAGGCTCCAGTCCCCTGGTTGCACCTTGAGCTCTGGACCTGTGAATGTCTGGGTCTACCTCTACTTGGCCCTAAGGGAGACACAGTGATTCCTAAGTAAACATCTCAGGCTGATGAGCAGGATGGGGCTTAGGGACTGAGCGGGCTGTAGGACTCAGCCTCAGGAGGAAAGGTCATCAGGATTCAGTGGGTCTAGTTCTAACCCCTGGATGGTCAGGATCAGAGTATTTGAAACATCCAGGGGGACTCAGCAGCTGAGAAACAATCCTGTTAGAGTTACAATTATTTTTAAGTCCTTAAAGAGGCTCCGCCCAGAAGTTCTGCAAATGGCCACTATCGCCACCTTTTGGAGGCTTAAAGAAGTGCCACAAGTGTGCTCTGGTTGATATCTTCCTTCTCATCAGGAGGTTGGGATCTAGAAATGCCTTTTGTACAAACCATAAGAGACTCTTCATCATAGGAAACAAACTGAGGCTTTCTGGAGGGGAGTGGGGTCGGGGGAATGGGTAACTCGGTGATGGACATTAAGCTGGGCATGTGACGTAATGAGCGCTGGGTAATGTGTAAGACTGATGACTCACTAACTCCTAAATCTCCTAAATCATTTACCTCCTAAATGTTACTTAATCAAATTTAAATAAAGAAATTTAAAAAAAGAAATGCCTTTTGTACTTGAGTGTCAGGCCTGTCATGATCCCTCCAGCTCCCTGCCGACAGAGGGCCGGAGCTCTGGGAAATTCTGGAGCCCCATGGAAAAAGGATATTTGGTGTTCAGTCAGAGAGATTAGAGCTCAGGTTTAGGGAGAATTGACATCTATTTATTTAAATTTTCTTTGATTTCTGTCATCACCATTTTGCCATTTTTGGCATCCATATCCAGGACATAGTTTGTTAAGTTTGTACCTAAACATTTCATTTTCTCTGGAGAAAGTGTAAATGGAATGCATTTTAAATGTTGGTTTGCATATGTTCACTCTAGGATATGGAAATGTGATTGACTTGTGTGTGTTAGTCTTGTATCCCATGACCTGATGAACTCACCTCTTAGTTCTATGAGGTTTTACAGATGGTTTGAGATTTTCTACATAGACAGTTATGTCATCTGCAAACAGGGACAGCTTTCTTCTTCTTTTCCATTCTCCATGCCTTTAGTTCTTTATCTGACCTACTGCAATAGCCAGAATTTCCAGGGCTAAGATGAATACACGGTGAGAGTGGGCACCTCTGCCTTGCTCCTGATCTCAGAGGGAAAGCATTTAGTTTTTCATTGTTCAGTGTGATGACAGCTGTATTTTTCTTTTAGATGATCTTCATCAAGTTGAGGAAATTCCCTCTTTTCTTGTTTTTATGAGTTTCTTTTTTATCACGAGTGGGTATTGGAGTTTGGCATATGATTTTTCAGTGTCATTTGAGATGATCCTGTGTTTTTTTTCTTCTTAGTTTGGTATGGTGGATTACAGTGGTTCGTGTTTCCAAGTTGATCCAACCTTACCTACCTGGAATAAACCTCACTCCATCATGGTGTATAATTCTTTGCTGAATTCCATTTGCTTGCCTTGCCGATCCACATCTACCTGACCCCCGGATTCCTGCCCCACTGGTCTCTCAGGGCACTCCCCCGCCCTGAGCTTTGCCTTTGCTCAGACCTTCCACCTTCCAGCCCTCACCTGCCTGAGGCTCTCCCCCAAGAGGAGACAAACCATGAGAGACTATGGACTCCGGGAAACAAACTGAGGGTTTCAGAGGGGAGGGGGTTAGGGGGATGGAGTAGCCGGGTGATGGGTACTAAGGAGGGCAGGTGCTGTGATGAGCACTGGGTGGTATACATAACCAATGAATCATTGAACACTACATCAAGACTAATGATGTACTGTACAGTGGCTAACTGAACATAATAATAATAAAGAAAAAGAGGCTATCCCTGTCCTCTGTCACCTGATCGTCTGAACTCTCATCCATTCTTCTTCATGACACTTCTTATAAACTGATATTCTATATTTCTTTAGCTTTTGAAACCACCCATTAGAATAGAGAGCCCGTGTTTTGTTGACTGCTTTATCCCCAGCACCTAGAAACAAGCCTGACGCTACATAGGCCTTTGGTGAATATTTGGCGAGTGGATGGAGAAAAGAAGGAATATTGAGTGGAGGGGTTGCACTGGGGGTTCTCAGGAGGGCAAGGTCACCAAAAAGCAGGTCCTCCCTCACCCTGGGCTCCCGTGGCCAACTTGGCACTCTCTACTGCCAAGTTCAGAGTCTTATGGAGTGCTTCCCCAGCCTCCCCAGCAAATCACCACGCACATCTACTTGTGTGTGTGATGTCTGTCATTG